AAATTAGCATTAAATAAAAACATGTGACTATGAAGAAAATTCCATTAGAAATCTTACACATGATGCCCATAATCATAGACGCTATCTTCCAACTATGAGACAAAGAAACGTAGTTACTGTACATTACAGAGCAGAGTAAAAATATAGAACTTGGGAATATAAATTTCAGTAATGGTAATCTAGATAACAGACTAACCCACCCACTGAAAACAACTTAAAAAAACTAGAAAAATATCTGTTTAAAGCATAAGAGAACAAGGCCCTGAAAAATTCTGGAGTCAAGATCCAGGAGAAATGAAACCCAGAGAAATAAAGCCCAACACTTTCAGATGTTGCTCTAGGAACTAGGATCAATTCCAGAAGAGAGAGCTTACAGGATGAGAAGCTAAGCAGAGCTTTTAATAGACTACCTGGGCTAAGACGACATAAACTAGAGTTCAGAACAGTACATTCCCACACTTCAGACTTGGACCTTAAAGGACTATGCTATAGGTAAGGGTGAAAGCTTAACAAGAAATAGACAAGAGTTGGCAGGAACTAATACTAGTCTCAAATCAACTCAATTCCTGCTTAGATTAAAATGATCCTATGGCCGGCCCGTGGCTCACTGAGGAGAGTGTGGTGCTGATAACACTAAGGCCCCAGGTTCGGATCCCATATAGGGATGGCCGGTGAGCTTACTGGCTGAGCATGGTGCTGACAACACCAAGTCAAGGGTTAAGATCCCCTTACCGGTCATCTTTAAAAAAAAAAAAAAAAAGTGATCCTAGATTCCTAGTGGCCTGAGGTTCAAGTCAAAAGTAAAAATCTCTGGAGGAAGATATCACCCCTAGGCCTCAAATCACCTTAAATTGTCTGTATTCAATGTCCAGCTTTGTTTAAAATAAAATTTGACCTATATGATGACAAAATTACTTATTGGAAAAAAAGAGCAACAACAGACAGTACCAGGAGCTCCATATGGGATCCAGATAATGGAATTATTAGGTAGAGACTTTAAACAACTATGCTTAATATATTCAAAGTAAAAAGACAACATTGGGATTTTTTCCAGCAGAGGATACTACGAAGCAGGACCAAATGGAAATTCTAAAACTTAAAAAAAACAAAACCAAAACCAAAAGCATTCCAAAACTTAAAACTACGAATTCAATGACTGGCTTAATACCAGATTTGGCCGGCCCGGTGGCGCACTGCTACAGTGCGCCGCTTGGGAAGCGCGGCGGCGCCCCTGCCGAGGGGTCGGAACCCCCATACCGACCGGCCCCTCCC